TCCTTCCTCTTTTTATGAGAAATTTATTTTATTTATTTATTTATTTATATGTATTTCAGGGTAGGATTGGTTCAGATCTCTAAACATTTTTTTGCATCCCAAAAATGATTGCATTCGTTTTATGGTCTGATTCCAAATTATTTTTCACCCACCGGTTGCAGGTAGGTCATCACATAGAAGATGATGAGGTTGTCAAGAAAGTAGAGGAATGCTGGGACAGCCCACTTGAGTGAAAAGAGGAAGGATGAACTGGAGGAAAAACCCAAGTCTCTGCAGGATCGCCCCTCTGAGGACACAGAGAGCACAGTTACATTTCATTTATACATCCCACACAACGGCAGACATGAAGGTAGCAGTTCTTCACAGTGCATATAATTATCTACACAAATGGTAACCAACATGTTCTATAATACAAATTAATGAGTCTTGCAGTCCCTGGTGTTCACAGTCAAAACCAAAAAATAACAATTAGTCTAAATGGTCAACACATTAAAAATATTCTCAATATCTAATTAACTTGCCACCCAATATTGACAACTTGAGAGGAAACACTTCTCTTCAAAGAAAAACAAACAATTATTTTTACAAACTGAAACCATCAGGTCATCGAGTCCTGTAACAACAGAAAAGACTGTAGTCATATTAAAATTCCAAGAAATCACTGGATAGTAGCAGAAATGGGTGAAACTTGTAGAATGCATGCAATAATGTATGCAACCTAAAACTATGCACAGACTGTTGTTCTGAGACATAATAAAATAAATATTAATGGCCAAGAAATCTTTTAAGGAATATTTTACTCTGTTGGCCTTTCATGCCAGAGTTTTGATGAAATGATGCAATTTTAACTATTTTGGTCAAATCCTTTAAGTTACAATATGCACAAACTCGTGCGATATCTTTCCAGATGTGTTAGCTCTTTTAAGTTTCTGTTGAGGAAGACTCATACTACCACACCAAATATTAGCTCAATATCTGTAGAACTAGCTAAGCCATAGCCATTTTGTGTTGGCCAACAGCTTGAATGGTCACCAACGGCTGATAATTAAGCTCGTAGCTAAACTCGGAACAAGCTGAACATCAAATGACCAAAACACAAAGTGTAAACCATCATACGTACCGTGATGAAAAAATAAATCTAATTATTTAAACAACAGTCTGTAAAAAGCATCCAAAGAATACAACATGACTAAAAAACATTTTTAACTGATTATATATTAAAGTTAAAAAACATGCTTCCACTGTTATTTAATATGCCTGTGGTGTAATTCTCTACAGAATTTTTAAATACAGTAAAGATTAAAACAGAAAAAACAATTAAAGTGGCACAATATTGTAGCTCCAAGAGCCGTGCCCCAGATGTTCAAAATAAGACCAGGTAAACAAACAGTAAGAAAGCTCCAACAACGCTAAACTAAAGCTTTAACTAAGCTCCAAGTCAGGTCCTCTGGATGGTTTCTTCTTGCTGAAACGTTTCGTCTTTCATCCAAAAGACTTCATCAGTCTGAGGAGCCACAACAAACCCAGTCTTATAAATAGCAGCTTTATGGTGCCCAATTTGATTGAGCACTATCAACCTGGTTGACCCATTATGTGAAGGTAATATTTATAAGACTGTTTGTTGCATAAGAAGTGACGCCGTTACAATACGTTTGGCTCTAAATTGTACAGATTTCAGCCGAGGTGAACCAAAATCACTATGATCGATCATTATCCACCTCTTGAGCAGTTATCCATGATAAGTGGCCTATAGCCTCCACAGCGCCACCTACATTCTTCCTACAGTTATATCTCAGTGATACAACATCCGATCTGAACCAGATTTTTGGTGTGTCATTAGTGAGCACTTCTGGACACATTGGTATTGTTTTTTTACTTTTGACTCTAGAGCACCCCCTACATCATTCTAACAGTTATATCTCTATGATACATCATCTGATCTGCACCAGATTTTTGTTGCGTCATCTGTGAGTATTTCCTAACACATTGGTATTGTTGTTTATTATTTGACTCAAGTATGCTCCATAGCTTATTCAAACTGTTATATCTCAGTGATATATCATCCGATCTGTACCAGATTTTTGGTGCGTCATTAGTCAGCACTTATGGACACATTGGTATTGTTTTTTTTACATTTGACTCAAGTGTGTCCCCTTTATCATTCAAAATGTTATATCACAGTGATACATCATCTGATCTGGACCAGATTTTTGGTGCATCATTAGTGAGCACTTATAGGCACATTGGTATTGTTCTTTAACATTTGACTCAAGTGTGCCCCCTACGATATTCTAACAGTTATATCTCAGTGAATTATCATCCGATCGGAACCGGATTTTTGGTGCATAATACGTGAGCACGTCTAAACACACAGATATTGTGGTTTAACATATGACTCAAGTGCACAACCTCTCATACTGATATAGGCGGAAGGCAATTGCAAAGTTTAGGCATATGCGCACCCTGGTGGACGCATGCAGGAATAGCATGAGAGCGTTCGCGACGGCGACTGGGAGGCGTTGCTGGAGCTCCTGCGGTCGCCGTACGGCTGCAGCGGCGCTTTGCTGCGAGGGCCTTCAATGCTGCTTGCAGCTTTAATTGGTTTTATTGTTTCTTCGTCTCTCTCTTTCTACTGAAGACACTGGATGACAAACGGCTCAACTCCGGTGCTCTTCACTGACCCCTTCTTTTCTCTTTTTTCCTTTAAAATCAGTTTTAACCGTCCAAAATCGTGTTTTTGGATCGTTAAAAGCAGCTAAGCTGACAAGTTAAGCTACGAGCTAAGCTAACAGGCCGACCTCGGAAAAAACCTCCGTCTTGTCGAAGCTCCAAAATTCACGGTTGAAACCTGTGCCTTTGTGTAAAAAAATGTTTTTCTCTGCAAAAAGAAGCAGAGAACTGGTTGATCCACTCTGAGAAGGTGCTATTTAAGAGACTGAGCTGAAAACAGCACCTCAGACTGAAGAAGTCTCTCGGACGAGAGACGAAACGTTTCTACATTTTTTGTTGTTTTGGGTTTTTTTGAATGTCCAGAGGACCAGATTTAACTTTTTTAGAAGCTGAGAACTTGTTTATTGATTTTTTTATTAAAAGCTTTGTGTGAAAAATGCTATGCGTACCTCTGGTATTCACACGAGAAAGACCGAATGTCAGGAACATTTCAGCAATTCCTTCACAAATGCTGTTCACTATCTAGTCATAGCCCATTCATATACTGCTTTTAATCCACCTACAGTCTTGAACAGTTTGCCATATTCAGTGCTACCTTTTTATAAAATACTCATTTACATTTAATCATAGTAAGTTTTATTTTTCTTATTGGTCTTAAAGTGAAAAGCTCTCACTGTGGAAATTATTTTCTGCTGAGGATTTAGAAGATTTGATAAAGTAGAATTAAACAACATACTACAAAAGTCATCATACTTTCTGAACAGAAACCCTCTACAGTGTCAATATAGTAAATTTTAGTGCAACATTTGGATTGTAATATTTTTAACAAAAAATGGGATGGGTGGTGGCCGAGGGCGGGGACCCTGGCGGTCTGATCCTCGGCTACAGAAGCTGGCTATTGGGACGTGGAATGTCACCTTACTGGTGGGGAAGGAGCCTGAGCTGGTGTGTGAGGCTGAGAGGTTCCGGCTAGAAATAGTCAGACTCACCTCTACGCATGGCTCTGGCTCTGGAACCAGTTTCCTTGAGAGGGTTTGGACACTCTTTCACTCTGGAGTTGCCCCTGGTGAGAGGCGCCGAGCAGGAGTGGGCATACTTATTGCCCCCATCTTGGTGCCTATGTGTTGGGGTGAATGAGAGGGTGGCCTCCCTCCGCCTATGTGTGGGGGGATGGGTTCTGACTGTCGTTTGTGCTTATGCACCAAACGGCAGTTCAGATTATCCACCCTTCTTGGAGTCCTTGGAGGGGGTACTGTAAAGCGCACCTCCTGGGGACTCCCTTGTTCTGCTGGGGGAACTCAATGCTCACGTGGGCAATGACAGTGAGACCTGGAGGGTGTGGTTGAGAGGAACAGTGCCCCTGATATGAACCCGAGCGGTGTTCTGTTGTTGGACTTCTGTGCTCGTCATGGATTGTCAATAACGAACACCATGTTCAAGCACAAGGGTGTCCATATGTGCTCTTGGCACCAGGACACCCTAGGCCGCAGTTCAATTATCAAATTTGTCGTTGTCTCATCTGATCTGAGGTCACATGTCTTGGACACTTGGGTGAAGAGAGGGGTGGAGCTGTCCACTGATCACTACCTGGTGGTGAGTTGGCTCCGATGGTGGGGGAGGATGCTGGTCAGACCTGGCAGACCCAAACGTATTGTGAGGGTTTGCTGGGAACGTCTGGCAGAGTCTCCTGTGAGACGGAGCTTTAACTCCCACCTCCGGGGGAACTTTGAACATGTTCCGGGGGAGGTGGGGGACATTGAGTCTGAGTGGGCCATGTTCCATGCCTCGATTGTCGAGGCGGCTTACCGGAGCTGCGTCCGCAAGGTTGTCGTGCCTGTCGCGGCGGCAACCCTCGAACCCAGTGGTGGACACCGTCGGAGAGGGATGCTGTCAGGCTGAAGGAGTCCTATCGGGCCTTGTTGGCCTGTGGGACCCCGGAAGCAGCTGATGGGTATCGGCAGTCCAAGAGACACGCGGCTCGGGTGGTCGCTGAGGCAAAAACTCGGGTATGGGAGGAGTTCAGAGAGGCCATGGAGAATGACATCTGCACGGCTTTGAGGCGATTCTGGTCCACCATCCGGTGTCTCGGGGGGGAAAGGGGTAAACCACCAACACTGTTTATAGTGGGAGTGGTGTGCTGCTGACCTCAACTCGGGATGTCGGGATGTTCACTCTAGGTCGGGCCCTCCAATCTCTGGCACGGAGGTCACCGAGGTGGTTAAAAAGCTCCTCGGTGGCAGGGCCCCAGGGGTGGATGAGATTCGCCCGGACTTCCTTAAGGCTCTGGATGTTGTAGGGTTGTGTTGGCTTACGCGACTCAGCAATATTGCGTGGACATCGGGGGAAGTTCCCCTGGATTGGCAGACCAGGGTGGTGGTCCCCCTATTCAAAAAGGGGGACCGTAGAGTGTGTTCCAACTACAGGGGGATCACGCTCTTAAGCCTCCCTGGTAAGGTCTATTCGGGGGTTCTGGAGAGGAGGGTCCGTCGGATAGTCGAACCTCGGATTCAGGAGGAGCAATACGGTTTTTGTCCTGGTCGTGGAACACTAGACCAGCTCTACACTCTCAGCAGGGTCCTGGAGGGTGCATGGGAGTTTACCCAACCGGTCTACATGTTCTTTGTGGACTTGGAGAAGGCGTTTGACCGCGTCCCTCGGGGAACCCTGTAGGGGGTACTCTGGGAGTATGGGGTACTTGACCCTTTGATGCAGGCTGTTAGGTCCCTGTATGACCGGTGTCAGAGCCTGGTCCGCATTGCCGGCAGTAAGTCAGGCTTGTTCCCGGTGAGAGTTGGACTCCGCCAATGTTGCCCTTTGTCACCGATTCTGTTCATAACTTTTATGGACAGAATTTCAAGGTGCAGCCGAGGTTTTGAGGGGATCCGCTTTGGTAGCCTTAGGATTGCGTCTCTGCTTTTTGCATATGATGTGGTCCTATTGGCTTCATCAGATCGTGATCTACAGCTCTCGCTGGAGCGGTTGGCAGCCGAGTGCGACGCGGCCGGGATGAAGATCAGTTCCTCCAAATCCAAGGCCATGGTCTTGAGCCGAAAAAGGGTAGAGTGCCCTCTCTGGGTCAGGGAGGAGGTCCTGCCCGAAGTGGAGGAGTTCAAGTATCTTGGGGTCTTGTTCACGAATGAGGGAAAAATGGAACGTGAGATCGATAGGCGGATAGGTGCAGCGTCTGCAGTGAAGCGGGCGCTGTACAGGTCTGTCGTGGTGAAGAGAGAGCTGAGTCAAAAGGCGAAGCTCTCAGTTTACCGATTGATCTATGTTCCTACCCTCATCTATTGTTATGAGCTTTGGGTTGTGACCGAAAGAACAAGATCTCGGATACAAGCAGCCAAAATTAGTTTTTTCCACAGTGTGTCTGGGCTCTCCCTTAGAGATAGGGTGAAAAGCTCGATCATCCGGGAGGGACTCAGAGTAGAGCCGCTGCTTCTCCATGTCGAGAGGAGCCAGTTGAGGTGGCTTGGGCGTCTGTTTAGGATGCCTTCTGGACGCCTCCCTAGTGAGGTGTTCTGGACACGTCCCACCAGGAGGAGACCCAGAGGAAGACCCAGGACATGCTGGAGGGACTATGTTTCACGACTGGCCTGGGAATGCCTCGGGATTCCCCCAGGGGAGCTGGACCAAGTGGCTGGGGAGAGGGAAGTCTGGGCCTCCCTACTTAGGCTGCTACCCCCGCGACCCGACCCCGGATAAGCGGAAGAAAATGGATGGATGGATATTTTAAACAAATCTAATCATTATGCTGGCAGCACTGTGGATCAGTTGGTAGAGTTGCCGCCTCAGTGAGCAGGTCACCCCGGTTCAAATCCCGGTCGAGGGTCTTTCTGGGTGGAGTACGCATGTACTCTCCGTGCATGTGTGGGTGTTCCTGGGTATTCCAGTTTCCTTCCACAGACCAAAAACATGCATGTTAGGCTGATTGGTAACTCTAAATTGTCCCTAGGTATGAGAGAGAGAGTGAATGGTTGTTTGTCTCTATGTGCCCCTGCGATGGACTGGAGACCAGTCCAGGGTGTCCTCCACCTCTCACACAGTGACTGCTGGACATGGGCACCAATGACCCCCATGACCCAAAAAGGAAGGAGTGAGTAAATGGATATGGATGGATGGATAATAATTATACACAAAGATAGTATTATGGTTTTGATGCTTACCTCGGACGATGACCCTGACTGACATGACCAAACAGAAGAGCAGTTTGAGAGCCTCAGCAAGCAGATTGACAGATGCAGGGAGAAAGTCGTACTTGTTTTCTGAAAACAAACAAACAAGCAAACAAACAAAAACGTTAAACACCTACCAGTTGTTTTACGATATCAATGTTTCTGTGTTGAAATGTCACATCTGTTGTTTCGATTATCACAAACCTGAATTGGCGGAGAATTTGAGCAGCACGATGCGACTCGTCCCCAACGTTACAAAGCCAAGGCCAAGTGCGAGAGTGTACGCGCAGGAGCGCGTGCACACCCGGGGGCAGGGGCACAACATGAGGGAGAAGCAGTCTAACCTGCTGGAGAACAACACATTTACTGAGAATTATTGGTGCCATCAGTGTGCTCTGTGGTGTCTGAGGTGTGTCTTACAGTTTCTGTAGTATTATGATGCACATGATGTGGTTCTGTTCAAACTAAACTGGCTTCATGATAAGTGAGAAATGAAGACTGCTGTCAAGTCAGACATCACTTCAAATGACTGTTTTGTTGTGTAAATTAAGACAGGTGGATATCTGGACCTGCTCAAGAGTTTGTCACTAAAAGGACTTCCTTCAAATTTTCGTGTGAAAAGAAAACTACTCATAAACAGACTAAATTTATTATATCTAAAGCCAAAACTTTATCGCACAGCTCTTCTCTAGTTGCTCATTTAGCCTTATTGGCGTGGAAATCCCTGTAAATTTGCATATAAAAGCACATACAGACACAACACACATATATATATTTTGATTTTCAAACGCGTCTCCTGAAGCTGCTGCAAAAGAATACTACAATTAATGACCACTTACCAGTTTTCTCTTTTATTATCCGAAACACTGAGGTATCACATTTCCGCAACAAAGAAGCGCTGCAACGTTGAAATGCGCATGCGCCACCAGAGCAGCTGGCGTGCTGACGTTATTGGTTAGCGACGTCTTTTTCGTGGTCGTCGTCTTCAGAAGGTGTCCCTTACCGCCACCACCTGGTATGGAGTGTGAATCAAAATGTATTTATTTGAATTATACTGTATATTTGTAACAGGCCTATGTTCTACTTACCGACTTTGTTTTTCTTTAATAAAGAACATAATGCAGTGTCCCCTCAGTGTGGACAGAACTAGGCAAAAGGGCCTTCTCCTACTCCGCTCCTGTTCTCTGGAGTATCTTGCAAAAAGGTCTGAAGCTCTCGACCTTGACCTCTGTAAGTGGCTTCAAATATCTGTTAAGTTCCTGGCAAAAACCAGCACAGACATGTTCCTGTTTTTAGTTTTCTTCATTGCCTTACAATCTAGCTGGTTTTGTTTTTGTTCCTTAGATAGAGAACTTTACTAATTGGCTTTTTTATGTATGTGAATGTTTCTGTAAAGTGCCCTGAGACAACTTTGTTGTGATTTGGCGCTATAGAAATAAACTGAATTGAATTGAATTGTTTCATTTTTAATACCATTTTCTTTAATTTATTCTTCTCAATTTATATGCCTTCTTTTATGATTGACTACGGTTGTCATCATTCTTTGTTAAAATCAAGTCTCTCTTGTAAATGAGTTCCTGAGGTTCATTGAGACTAACCTGTATAAATAAAGGTTGAATGAATCATTTAAATACCCTATATGTTTCTTTGATTTTTTTTCAATTCAGTTCAGTTTATTTATATAGTGCCAAGTCACAACAGAAGTCATCTCAGGGCACTGAACAGAAATATTCTCATATATATATATATATATATATATATATATATATATATAGTTAACACTATTTATCCAAGGAGCAGACTGCTTTGAATTTAACTTCAATGAAGAACTCTCATCTTGAGAAAGGCAACAGTGGAAAGAAAAAACTCCCTGGGTTTGATGAATGAACCAGCTGGGTTTGGTAGGAACAGATACACAATGGCAGGTCAAGAATCACTTGTTAAGATAGAAATGGCATCAAATGAAAACAATTAAATTTTAAACAAAATGTCATGATCAGTAATCCTGGTAAAAATCCATCATTGTCCAGTAAATGTCATCTGGACGGTTTCTTTTTTGGCTGAGATGTTTTGTCCTTCATCTGAAGGTAATACAGAACTGAATTCAAAATCTTACTCTTTTTCATTTACCCTTTATTTATCCAGGTAGTCTCATTGAGCCTTGAGAACTCATTTTCAAGAGAGACCTGTTTTGTTTGTTTGTTTGTTTGTTGGGGGGCAGATGCTGGGGGTTGGGGGCCTTGCTCGGGGGCCTGGGGTGGGGGGAGGCGTGGGTGTTTCACCTTTTCCACCCACATTTTGATGTTGACGATACCGGGAGGTGAACCTGCGACATTCTGATCACAAGCCCATCTTCTAACCTCTGCGCCACCACCCCCCCCAACCTACTTCTAACCTGCAAAGCTCTCAACAACCTAGCTCCATCTTATATTTGATCTTATTGTTCCATATTTTCCTAACAGAGCACTTCGCTCTCAGACTGCAGGTTTACTCGCAGTTCCTAGAGTTACCAAAAGCAGAATGGGAGGACGATCTTTCAGTTATCAGGCTCCTCTCTTGTGGAACCAACTTCCAGTTTCTGTCCGTGAGGCTGACACGTTATCCAGTTTTAAAACTAGGCTTAAGACTTTCCTTTTTGATAAATCCTATAGTTAGGGTTGGATTATGATGCTGCCATAGGCTTAGACTACTAGAGGACAAACTGACCTCATTTCCTTAAATGATTTTGCTAAAACTGAGTAGTTTTCATTTGATACTATTTCTATCTTAACATGTGATTCTCGACCTGCCATTGTGTATCTGTTCATCTCAAACCCAGCCAGTCGAAGCAGATGACCACTTGTCCTGAGCCTGGTTCTGCTAAAGGTTTCTTCCTCATGAGAGAGTTTTTTCTTTCCACTGTCACCTTCATGCTCAAGATGAGAGTTCTGTGATGGAGTTAAATTCAAAGCAGTCTGCTCCTCAGATAAATAATGTTTAATTATTATTTTTATATACAAATGTTTTTGTTCAGTGCCCTGAGATGACTTCTGTTGTGACTGGGTGCTATATAAATAAACCAAATTGACTCCTTCAGTCTGAGGAGCCACAAACAACCTGAAGTCTCACAAATACCACACTCCCATAGTGAAAAAAAAAAGCACCAGCAAACAGATTTTGAGAAAATGAAATATATTCAATTCAAATTCAATTCCAATTCAAAAATACTTTATTAATCCCAAAGGGAAATTATTTGTTGTTGTAACTCATTATCCTCATTTCATTAAGAGATGTTATAGATACTGATGGCTGTAGGCAGGAAGGATCTCTTTTAAAGGTCCATCCCACAGTGGATCCTAAGAAACTGGCTGCAGATGCCGTCCGATCCGTCCACCCAGACTCGGCTGGCCTCTCGATTCCCCCGGGTTGTAGGACCGCCCAAATGCCGAGCAGAACTCCTCCCAGAATGATGGCCTATCCTCCCAGCAGTCTGCCGAGCTCCTCGTCGCTGTGGACAGCCAACTGTAGGTGCTGAGGGACGATCCTGTCCTTCCGCTGTCATGAGCCGTGTTTCCTGCTAGTTCCAGGATCTCAGTGGTCAGGCACTTGAGCACAGCTGGCAGGTAGATGAGAATGCATCCGCAGAACATCCTTTTCAACTCATTTGAGATT